CAAAGGAAAAGATTTTTATGAAGATAAGAAGTTTTGCCAGCACCAGTGGCTCACTCCTATAATCCTAGCTACTCAGGAGGTAGAGATCAGGAGGATCATGGTTCAAAGCCAGCCCAGGCAAACAGTTCTTGAGACCCTATCTCGAAAATATCCAACACCAAAAAAATGGCTGGTAGAGTAGCTGAAGTAGTAGAGCACCTGCCTAGCCAGTGTGAGGCCCTGAGTTCAAACCCCAGTACTGAAAATAAATAAATAATTAAAAATAAAGATATGAAGTTTGGTGTTAGCGATGGTTCAATATGAGATGACAGCAAAACACCCAAAAAAGATGTAAACAGTAGAAGACAGAAAAGTTACAGAGAAATATGAGGACAAAAGACATACATAGCAGTCATACAGATAAAGACCTTTTAAAGAGTTATAAGAAATATACTACAAAACTTAACTCCTTCATTCATCAAATATTTATTGAGAACTATGTCCCAGGCACTATTCTAAGCTTTGGAAATATAACTTTGACCAAAACACATAAAAGTACTTGCCCTTACGGAACTTACAGTCTACTGGGGAAAACAGACAAGTCTAAACAGGGCTCACAAACATAAATTTAGGAGTTCAGGTTAATGTCAGTACCTACTATAAGGAAAAAGCAATTTTTATGGTTTTCTTCAAAATTTATTTCCAGAATTTTCATTTCATTAGTTAGAAAGGTATTTATGTCCTCAGACCAGCAAACAGACAGATTCAAATAAATTAAGATTTTTATGTTAGCTTTCCTATTATAAAAATTTATTTTCCTTTCTTTGTTTTTCAAAGTGTTTGTTGCAATTAGGTCAGTCCTTCCGAAAATGTTCATAAAGGGTAACTGAACTCAGGGAAAAAGACAGGCCAAATGGTTCCACAAAAAGAGCAGGGTTTGGGAATGAGACAAGGCCTAAATTCAAATTCCAAGTTTGTACAAGTTGTGACCTTAGGCAAGTTATTTAATAAATCTCCACACTTCCCACTAGAGGTGCAGATCAGTGGTAAAGTGCTTGCACAACATGCACAATGCCCTGGGTTCCATCCTGAGCATAAGGGAAAAAAATAATAATTCCAAGACTGTTAACCCATCCATGAAATGGGAATAACTTCACTCTCAGGATTAAAAGGGGTAATTTCCTAAAGGATTTGGCACAATGCCTAGAAAAAATGGAGAAATGCTTGAGAAATGGTGGTACCTGCTGCTGTGACAACCACTACTACTATTACTACAAGTGCTAGCACAAAATAAATGCCCAGAAAATGCTTCCTTTTTCTTCTACAGAAGGTACATCTTAATAGCATGAGTAATTATATGGCCCCAATTCACTAGGTTATTCTCTTCCATTCTCCCAAGAGTTTTGTGTTGCAGAAACTTAAAAGAATTAAGTGCATATTAATTTCACAAATGTACTTAATATCCTTACTCTCTAACTTGATGGAAGCATATTTATCCTCCAAAGAAAATTTCAATGGTGTATCAAAAATGGAAAAAATGGTCACTGAATTATGAAGACTCACATAAAATTGAATGAAAGTGGTCTGCCTTAGAAATCATCCATAAAAGATTGTATAATTATTTCTATTTAGCTGACACCATTACCCTTATCCTCTGTAATTAGTAATTTCTACAGCATCATTCATTTAGGAGAAAAATTAAGTGATTAGCTACAATAATAATTCAAATTTTATACAACATCCTCAGAGTTTCCTGAGGAAAAAATGGTACAATGTATATGAAAAATGTGTGACTAAGTTCCCAGCATACAATATGCAATATGTGATAGCTTTAGTGAAATCTAACCCTCTTATTGTCTAATGTTCCATTCAATCAATGAAGACTTCTAACAGGAATTATTACACAGGATTTATAGAATTAAAAAGCTTAAAAAACACACCCTGACCTGATGCCATTCTAAACCAGAAAGGTAGGCTGGGGATGTAGGACACTTGCCTAGCATATGCCAGGTCCTGGCTTCAATCCCCAACATCAAAACAAACAAACAAAAAAACCTTATCTAAACCAGAAAGGTATTCACTTAATGCCTTTTAATAACAAAGAGGTTTATAAGCTAAATTAAGACACAGAGTAGTGTAAATCAAAAACAACATTCAGCTCTTCACTCTAAACAAATCCTTCAAATAAAAGGTTTTTTTTTTTTTTATTCATATTTGCATACAATGTTTGGGTCATTTCTCCCCCCTTCCCCCACCCCCTCCCTTACCCCTCCATCCCATCCCCAAATAAAAGTTTTTATAGAAGACTACATACATAACTTCCTCCTACTTTTATCTTTTAAAAAATTCAAATTCCAGAAACTGTTTCATATAATGGTATCATCAGGATTAGTCATAATTGTTTGCTCAGGAAAGAGCACTGACATCCACACTAGCCAAGGCAACTCCTTCACTCACCTGTGACACCATTTGAGACAATCAATGTCAGAAGTGCCTATTTGCATTATAAATGGCTCTTCTTGAGCTGTCCATGTGGACACTCACACCTAATTCTCTACCTGGCAATGTCCCTCATAGGTAGATGACTCCAACACTTACATGTGCCAGGTGCATACCTAAGAGCACCCAAACTCAGCTCGTACAAAATTAAAACTGTCTCAGTTCAGCTCCTCCTATGTCCTCAACCTTGCCCTCTCTTTTCCTCAGAGCAAATCAGTTTTAAAGAAAGATGCGTCTATTTTACCAGCACCACATAGCATCTGTCCCATCTCCATTCCCGCTGCCTGTCTAAGCTTCTCATTACCGTTGTCCTTGACCCATGCCAACAGATCCCACTTAGCTGCCCACTCTCTCATGTCCTAAGTGAGTCCACCTACTCTGAATATTGCAGACTGATTGATCTTGCTATGAATGCCCTTTCCACTGTCCACCACCAGTCCCAGATTTCCTGAATTTGAAGGACCCCATCCATTCACTTGATCCTGGACACACCTCAAATTCAGAATGTTCTGGCCTCACCCTCAAGGCCATTCCTGTTCTGGCTCCAATCTAAAAGCCTATAATGTCATGAAAACAAGAGTGTGTTATGCCATTCCACTGCTCTTTGACAAAAAGTCAAAAATTCTCAATTTGACCGACATACCTCCCCTTAACCTGGACCCTGCCTATCTCTCCAGTCTTGCTATTCTCCCCTTTGCTCTCTCTGCTCCAGCCACCTGGTTTTCTCTCCAACCAGTCATGACCCTACTCACCATCAGCCTCTGTACATGACAGCCCCTCAGCACCTCATCCCTCAGGTGGTCAAATCATCTCAAGTCATTTACTCAGAGACTAACCTTAACCCCATTCCAAACTAAGTCAAATCTTCTGTCCCTACTCTTCACCTCCATAAACTTAAGCAAAATTACAAATAATTATTGGATTTCTTTTTATTCCCAAGGTAGAAGGTAAGCTCCACAACAGAACTGTGTCTGTCTTATTAACAACTATATCTCACAACTAAAACAGGGGAGTCCTCCACAAATATGTGCAGATTAACCAAAATTCATAAATCAGAACTATACACTGGACCTGATGTCATTGGTTTCTCCATCCATAAAACTAAAGTTCTCATCTACTCAGTGTTCTCTGCGTTCCCTAGAAAACCTAATATTGTGTGGATCTGTAATTTTATCATTCCTAACTTCTCCTTCACAGCTCTCTTCTACACAGATACCAGCTAAACTTCACTTTCTGGCCTCTACAACTTTGTCTGTATCCTTCCATCTGGGATTCCACATACACACACTTCATATTTGCAAGTTCTACTTAACCTCAAATGTTCAAATCCTCCTTCAAATCTTCTTTGCTTCCCCCTATCTAGTCACAATCTCTTTGCCCCTGAATTTCCACGGGTTCTCCAATGCCTCATTCAGGTCACAAATCAAACAGTACTTTAAATGAGCAGCTTCTCCTAAAGTCATCAGCTAGTTACAGTTCTCTATTAGATCACCCTGTTTTTACTTTAATAGTTCACTATTATATGAAATTATCTTGTTCATTTTATTCACGTATTTGTTAATTCCCTGTCATCCCGCACTAGAACATAAAATCCATGAGAGCAGGGACCCCATCTGTCTTGTTCACCACACTTCCCCACATCACATGTGGAAGGTAGTCAGTAAATATCTCCCAAAGTCATGAATGACTCTGTAGTTCCTATGACAAGGGTTTTTGTGTGCATATCTTCCTCTTGCTATATTCCAAACTCCTTGTGGACTAGGCCAAAGTCTGGCTAACCTATTGTGTGTACTATCCAGAAATTCTTGCACAATGGAAACAAATAACAGATAACTGCTAATTAACTAATAAGCGATCTCTCCAAGAGATACTGCCTCAAACCAGGCCAACTTGGAACTTCATATTCAAACAGGGATCTCTTTCCATCCTTCTCCAGGACAGACCCTGTTCCAATAATTCCACCGCCAGTGAGATTCAAAAGACTAGTTCTCCACTTTCCTTTCAACCAATAGTATCTCTGAAATCTCACAATCCTACCCATTCCCTTTTATTTCCAGCCAACAAATCATGTCCAGGACCCTGTTTCTTCATAGCACCCCACATAGCCAACTGTGGGGAACTCACCAAGCCCTAGGGCAAAAGGGTATGGTAACAGGAACTGTTTAAGCAAGAACAGGCTCACTCACCTTTTCCTTGATACCTCATTTATCCGAAATAGGCCCAGATTCTGAGACTGGCTTTGATACTCTTTGGGACCCTAAGCATCCTTCCAATCTAGCCGCAGCATCCAAATACCTTTAGGGTACCCAATTCCTGCCTCGCACCTCTTCCCCTTCCACCACAGAAAGACCCCAGGCCAAAGACGACTATCTCCCCCTAAGCAAATGACCATCAAACACAGTGGGGCGGCCCTTCCCTCCTCATTTTCTGTCCAGCATCTGCCTCTGGCCTGGAACCGTCTCCGGGGCCCCTCAGTCCCAACCTCTGGCTTGGCCCGACTCCCCAACACCACCTCCACTCACCTGAAGCGGCCCCCGCAGTGCTGGCATTGCTCGCCCACCCAGCCGGAGGGGCAGACGCATTGGCCGGTGCCAGGGTTACAGCGGCCGCCGTTGACACAGGGCCGGTCACATTCCTTGGCTTCGGCTGCGGCTGAGCCCGACACCGCCGCCGCTGCCGCCACGGCCTCTGCCTCCCAGGGTAGCAGCAGCAACAGCGGCGAGAGCAACAGCAGCAGCAGCAAGCGTGGCGGCAGTGACGGCGACAGCAGGCTTAGGAGACGCAGCCCGGCCCCCAACCCCGGCCTCCCAGCCCCGGTCACGTCCAAGTCCTGGTCCAGCCCGCCCTTCCTGCTCGCGGGCGCTGCCGTCGCCGCCGTCCTCCTTCTCAGCCTCGCCTCAATCGCCGCCGCCGCCGCCACCATCTTCCCGGGGCTGAGACCGGGCCCCGCGAACACATACACACACGGCACGGCCGGCTCCGCTTCGCCTGGCCGTGCGAGGAGGGGCTGTGCGGACGGTGGCCCGTGTGGTCAAACCTGAGGGCGGGGGGCAGAGCTGCGCGGTGGGCGGGGCTGACTGCGTGCGTGTGTGCGTGCGTGGTCGGGGCACGTACCTCGCGGGCTGGGTCGTTCCTCCCAGTCTAGTTGGGGCTGGGAACCTGGTTTCTCTTCCTGGATACCCTCGCGTCCTGGTTTTCGCCGGGGGTGGCGGTCCCCAAGTGTCCCCTTTCCAGAGGCTGCCTGGGAGCCGGCCACAGTGAATGTTTCCCCCGCCCCCGGACACCCCAAGCTCATCAGCGCTCTGCCCCAACTCCAGCTTCAAGGCAGAAAAGGCCTGAAAGTTGCGTCAGGGTGGGAAGCTAGATGCCATCCTGTAGAAGGAGTGCTGCATTTGTGCCTCTAAAATAAGAATAACGGGCTGGGGACGTGGCTCAGGTGCTAAAGAACCTGCCTAACGAACACTAGACCCTGAATTTAAACCCCAGTACCATCAATAAATAAAATAGCGAAATAATACGTGTGTTAAGAACCTGATATATCGATAAATGCCTAGCAAAGTGAAGCACACATGGATCCAGGCCTCCCTTGATAACAGGTAGAACCAGTAGAAGACCAGACTCTCCGACCTTTCATTCTGTGAGAAATTGGGTTACTTTGCACCCCACTGTTTGCCCTCCAACCATATTCTCTGAAGAGAGGTCAATCTAGAATTAAAAACCAGAGTACTCACAGACTGCATAAGTCGCCCCCAGAGCCCTTCTTGATATCTTCATTGCCCCCCCCCATGAAACATGCTTCCCAGCCTTACAACCCTGTATGATCCACAACCCTGGAATCTGGACTGGGTCTATGACTCCATTTAAAGGATAGACGATCTGGGAGCCGTGGCTAACACCTGTAATCTTAACTACTTAGGAAGCAGAGATCAGGAGGATCAAGGCTCAAAGCCAGCTTCAGGGAATTAGTTTGTGAGACCCTATCTTGAAAACACCCATCACAAAAAAGGGCTGGTGGAGTGGCTCAAGCAGCATGAGCAGCTGCCTAGAAAGAATGAAGCCCTGAATTCAGTACAGCAAAAAAAAAAAAAAAAAAAGAAGAAGAATGTGGTGGAAGTGATGATGTGTCAATTCTGGCTCTGAACTTTAAAAAGATGTGGCAGCCTTGATTTTGAACTGTTGGTAGTCTTGAGCTACTCTGACTCTTCCACCCTGCTGGAAAGAAACATACAGAGATCACATGGAGATGGAGAGGCCCCAGACATGTGAACCTGGTGTACCCATCCTAGCTGGGGAATCAAGTCATTGAGTGAAGAAACCATCTGGGATGCTTTGGCCATCTGGACTGTTTCACATTGTCCAGAACAGAGACAAATCTTTCCTGCTTAGCCTTACCCAAAACTTTAAGAAATGATAAACTCTTTGCTGTTAAGCCTTTAAGTTTTAGAGAGGTTTGTTACTGAGCAACAGATAACCAGAACATTGTCTCAAATAACCCTTGTGCTGTGAAGATTATTCCTATAGCAGCTACTTTAGAGTTTAGACACCTGTGAAACAAAAAAAAACCCCCATACATGTGTGGCATCTCTCAGCTTCACCTCAGAGCATAGAATTCTAAGATTCAAGAATGTACCCCAATACTCACACCTAGTTACCACTCTCTACTAGGTCCTGACCTTCCTCATTCAGCATCCCTTTTAAGCCTGGTGAATTCAAACTACACACCAGCCCCACCCCAGTTCTCCACCTACACATCCTTGCCATTCTGACAGGAAACCCACTAGCATTCTGACTTGCAGGTTAGATTTTTGCTGCATTGTCCCACACAGTGCTCTGCAGGATGAGATAAGGAAAGGCTGACCCATACGATTGCTTCAGGAGACGCTGCTGTCTCTACTCTTTCAGGCCAGAAATAGAACCAGTCTCTCCACTGCTAAACTGAGCCCAGGCTCTGAAGTTTTCCATGATTTTATGCACACTCAGGGATAACAGAAAGGGTTTCAGAACAGCAGTCCCTGTACAGTACTAGATATGACTGCTCTCTGAAGTCAAGAGCCTGGCAGCAGCAAACATGCTCTTTTACTTTTGTAATATACTCTCCCTTCCCTGGCTCTTTTTCCCTAGACTTCAAACATGCTCAAATTATATTGTCTTTGAAAAACAACCAACCAAAATCTTACCTGTGTAAGAAACTACTGCTAGCTTCTTACATATTTACTGATGTTATCAAGAGCCCCTACACTTTTTACTCCTTTGTGGTGGACTTACGATGACTGCAAAGTCCCTAACACTCTTTCCATGGAGAAAGAGAACTTAATCCCCCTCCTTGGATCTGGACTGGCCTTAGTGATTTGCCTTGCAAATAGACTATGGTGGGAAGTGACTGTGCTGGGACTTTTGAAGCTATGTCATAAGAAGTCTTCCTGAGTGTCTTGCAGCACTTCCTCTGGGGAAATCCAGGTGCCATAAAAGAAGTCCAGTACTCCAAGGCTGCCTTGCTGGAAGGAAGCCAGTCCCCAGATATTCATGTCTTCCCCCATTGAGGTCCCAGACAATCACTAAGCAGGGATTGTGTCATCCCTGCTGAACATGCCCAAGTTGCAGATACTTGAGTAAAATAAGTGCATTTGTTTAAGCCACTAAGTTTTGGGACATATTGTTACACAAAAATAGATTACTAGAATAGTCTATAACTTGCTTCCTGAAAGGACAGGAAATTTAGTGAAGGAGACTCTATTAAGAATTGATTAAGAATTGGGTGCAGTGGCACTGCATGCCTGTCATTCCAGCTACCTGGGAGGCTGAGGCAGGAGAATCACAAATTCGAGCCAGTCTAGACTACAATGTGAGACCCTGTTTTAAGGTGGGGGTTTTTGAGAGAATTAAAAAAAGCAATATAGGGCCAGGTGTGGTGGCACACATCTGTAATCCCAACTGCTTGGGAGGCAGGGATAGAAAGATCACAGTCCAAGTCATGGGCAAAAACTTGAGATCGTACCTGGAAAATAACTAAAGCAAGAAAGGGCTGCCACATGACTCAAGATGTAAAGCACCTGCCTTGCAAGTGCAAGGCCCTGAGTTCAAAACCCAATACTGCAAAAAAAAGGCAGCATAATTACATATACAATCTGATAATATACAACTAGTCAACTCTATATCATACACAGTAGGTTATATTACTGTTGTCCAGTCACTCCTTACAGGTCACTGAAACCCTAAAACAAATCTGTTTTCCTCTACATACCTTACCACTAAGGTTCTATGACTATTCTTCCTAAAATTTCATGCCATCTTTTACTCCACCAGACCTTATTAAGGCAGCCATTTCTAGGTCCCAGAAACTAAGCACATCCCACCATGCCTGGCTCTCTTACATTGTTTGAAGGTGCCTCTGCCTGGTATTGTTTCACTAAAGAAAGGCAGTGAAGGCTAGGCATACTAGCTCATGCCTGTAATACTAGCCACTAAGGAGGTAGAGATTAGGAGTACTGCGGTTTGAGGTCAGCCCAGGCAAAAAGTTTTTGTAAGACCCCAGCTCAATCAATGACTGGGTATGGTGGTGTGTACCTGTCAACTCAGCAACTCCAGGAAGCACAAATAGAGGATCGCAGTACAGGCAGATCTGAGCAAAAAGCCAGACCTTATCTTCCAACACTTACGTCATGTCATCACTTTCTGCATCTTTGCTTGCACTATCTCCAGGTCGTGAACATAGATGGATTTTATCATTTTGGACGTTTACTCAAAAAGTATCTTAGGTCACTGCTATGGGTTGTCCCAACCAAAACTCATGTTAAGGCATGGTTCCCAGTACAGCAGTGTTGGGAAATGGGTCTAGCAGATGTTTGACTCTTGGGAGCAGAGCCTACATGAGTAATTAATGCCTTTGCCACATGAGTTCTCATTCTCCTCGGAATGGATTGGTTAACAGGAGACAGGTTGTTTCAATGTCAGTTCAGCTTCCTTGACTTTTTCTTGCTTCTCTTCTGTACACCACACACACACACACACACACACACACACACACACACACAACCCTTCTGCTTTCCACTATGAGTTGAAGTACCGTGGGGTACTTCTCCCTGGTATCATGCTTGCTATTGGACTTCCCAGCCTCCAGATCTGTGAACCAAAATAAGCCTCTTTCCTCATAAACTTACAGTCTCAGGTATTTTGTTATAACAACAGAAGACAGACTAGGATAGTCACTTTCCCTAGAAGCAGAGCCTGAAGCAGAATTTGAAGGCATCGTTTATTCGGAGAGTGCTCTCAGAAGAAACAGTGAAAGAAGAAAGATCAGGAAAGGGAACTGAATAAAAATGTGGTCTTACCTGGAGTGTAGCTTTAGTCTAACCCCAGGAAGAGCTCTAAAACATTAATTGTACCATAGACTTGAACCAACCTTGAAATAAAGGAACAAGATTTTGTACACATATCTCATCAAGCAGTCAACATTCACAGAAGTAATAAAGATCCATTAAGGAGCCAGGCTCAGTGGCACTCCTACTTAGGAGTCTGAGATTGGAGGATTGCAGTTCAAGGCTGGCTTGGACAGAAAAGTTCACACCATCTCAGGTGCAGTGGTGTGCACCTGTCATTCTAACAACACAGGAGGCTAAGACTGGGAAGTTCACAGATCCAGTCCAGCCCACACAAAAAGTTTGCAAAACCCCATCTCAGACTACACATGGTGGTACACACCTGTCATTCTAGCTATAATGGGAGGATTTGCGATCCAGGCTGGCCAAGGACTTTCTACATAGAAAGCATAAAGCCCTGAGTTCAAACCCCAGTACTGCCAAAAAAAAGGATCAGGAGGAATACTAATGGTATATTTGTTGTCTGTCTACTACATACAACACCTACTATATAGCAAGAATTGATTGCTACTCTGGAAACATTTATCTGATTGGCCATCTGACTTTTTCCAAGTATCACCAGATTTCATTCTGCACTATTTGAAATATCACCCTATTTTAGTATGCCAAAGGTCTTCTTATACTTTAGT